ATTAGGACCAAAAAACTCAATGAACCTGTTGGGGAACATTTCAACCTTGAGGGTCACAAATGGGAAGACATGACAGTAGTGGTGATTGACCATAACCCAAGATGGACAGACGTTTAGAGAAAAAGCAAGGAAAAGTTCTGGATGCATAGACTGAAGTCATTCCGCCCTAATTGCATTAACAAACTGAATGACTTCACCAGAATGAACGTAAACTAGACCCAATTCCTGAAGATACTAAACAGGATTATTTTCTCAATTTAGTGTTAACTCTACAGATAATTTGCGTCACCAACTCTCGAACAACCCAAATAACTATGAATTGTTTACGCCTTTGTTAATTTATAATAGATCATAATTCATATTTTAAAATATCCCTGCTGTATCATTTTTTTTTATTATTCTTTATCTAGTAAAGTTATGCCATATTGAGAGAATGAAACAATGTAAGATTTATTGATTGTCGTAATTAATCAGCATAATTAATTCGTTCAATTATGTAAATCGCACTGCACTTGAGTATACCCGATAGACAGGACGTATTTCATAGCGGTCCGGATTTATTTCTTTAATTATAGTGTTCTTAAAAATTTCTTTAAAGTCCTATAATATTTCAAAATTTATCATAGATCATAATTCATATTTTAAAATATCCCTGCTGTATTATTTTTCTTTGATTATTCTTTATCAAGTTTAGTTACGCCATATTGAGAGAATGAAACAATGTACGATTTATTGATTGTCGTAATTAATTAGCATAATTAATTCGTTCAATTATGTACATCGCACCTCACCCGAGCATACCCGATAGACCGGACGAATTTCGGACGTATAGCGGTCCGGATTTCTTTCTTTAATTATAGTGTTCTTAAAAATTTCCAATTCAACATGTAACTAAGTTTGTAAATATATAGTGTTTAGTAGTTTAGTAGTAGTGCTAGTTGACTTTGTTTTTCTTTTTCCTTTGTTCTTATGACCTTTTAACTTTTTTCTTTGTCCTGAGGAAGGGACAGGGCGTCCCGAAAATTTGACAATTTTTATTGTTCGTGTCGTTGGTCATTCTAGTATCATACAAAACCAATCAAAGATAACTATGCTGACACGGCAATAATTACACACGGTGTTGGGGCGGGACGGAGGGCAATTAAAATTACAGCAGAATTTTTGTTTGCGCGTTCACTGACAAGGTTCTGTGAGGGAATGGTGAAAGGCGTGAGAACCCGCGCGCATATCTTAGCATCCGACGGCCGAGAATATAAATCATACCAATTTACAGAAAGATCTTCGAGAATTGCTTTAATCTAACGGATAAGAAATTTTGCGATTAAGAAACTTAATTGCTAGCATGGGTCTGCCGTGTCAGATGTTTTACATAAATTAATTTAAGGATGTAAATTAAATATTTATGTAAACCCACTGACAATAGTTTAACTCTGTTTGATATGAAGAAACAAAATTAAGATTAAGTGAATTGAAAAATGCCATTTATTTACATTATAAATGACTGTATGAAAAAACACAAAATATCATGCATATAAACATATAATGCAGAATCAGAAAAATTGAACAATTGAAAATATAATCAATTTTGTTTCAATAGATATCAAAGGTGGGGTATAAAATTTCGCCACATTATTGTGTTTACATAAACGCAATAAACCCCATCCTTAAACTATTGTCTTCTAATGAATTGTTAATATTAAAGCACAAACATAAATAACACACAGTTTCTTCAAAGATGGTCAAGATACTCCTTTATAAGTGATAGAAGGATCTAGTTCAAGCTCCATTAACCAGCAGTGTCCATAATACGTTATAATTAAGTTCACGATCCTCTGTCATATTTCATCAAAGTTTCTAAAATCACTATTACAGCCAACCGGAATAAAAAAACAAATTATACATTATATAAACACAACCAGGCGAAAAAGTCAGAGGCCCATGTCCCCGTGACTTAATGTCGAAGAAAAATAAACGCAGTTGTACCTCCATTAGGTTAAGTCAGAGGCCCTTGTCCCCATGACTTACGTGTAAGTTCGAAAAATCAAAACAGTCCATCCTTTATTTGTAAGGTTAAGTCAGAGGCCCCTGTCCCCATGACTCAAGTTTGAAAATCAAAACATTCCATGCTATATTTATAAGGTTAAGTCAGAGGCCCATGTCCCCATGACCTAGGTTTAAAATTCAAAACAATCCATGCTATAAAGGGAAATTAAATATAAATCTAGAAACTTATATTCGCTATGTCCAAAAACCAGCTGATCGTAGTATGTGTTGATATTTAGTGCATAATCAGAGGCCCCTGTCCCCATGATTATACTTACTGCAGAAAATATTTAGATTTTCAAAACAGGTATGCGTATGTATTTCTTGTATGCGTCGGAATGCCATCGTCCCATCTGTTTAATCTTTTCATCTGAAATACCCATTTCGGCCGCTGACATTGCCGCACCAATTCGAAAACTATGAGTTTTATAGAGTTTAGAATCGAGACCCGACCACTTTAAAGACATTTGTAGAAAGTTTGTAAATTGTTGCCTTTGGATTCCATGACCATCAGGGTAAGAAAAAGGGGACCCATGACTTGACCCCTTAGTGTAATAAATGACAATAGTGCTTGCACTGGACAGAGCCCTTCATCGGAATTACTAGCCTGTAGAAACAAGGTGGGAATATGTCGGCCAGAACTGTGCTTGAAAGAATCAGGTCTTATTTCTAGGCCTTCTAGTGTGTTTGATTCGTCTCGAACAAGCTTAACATTTTCCAGTAGCAAAACATTACCTCTGTGATGTCGAGATGTGATAGTTATTTCCCCCACTCTTAAGAAGGCATGGAAGGCCAACAAATACATTGATTTTAGCATGCTGCGCTGGTAAAATGAGATACCTAAATGATCAAGCGAGTCAACTAAATTTCTTAGAATAGACGGTGTTATAGGCAGCCTCGTATCCCCGGTACCTGGTTTTAACTTTTCATACCCTTGTAGCATTTTGCGAATTACAAAAAGCTGTGTTACGTCTTGATAGCCCTTTAATTTAAATATATATCCTAGAGCTGATAGATAACTTTTCAAGGTCAACGTCGCCATGTTGGATTGAAAACAAAAGGCTACAAAAAGTGCGACATGTTGAGATGATGGTGGTAAGATGGGGACGTTTGGATATTGGTTGAACATGAAGGACTTATAACATGTAAAAGCTCTATCGTATGATGACCTAGAAGCTTTAGAAAGTGAACTCTGCAAAATGAAGTCTGCTAGTCATAGATGGGAACCCCTCCTTGAATTCTTGTACCTGTAAGCGAGAAAGTTTATCTGCAGCAACGTTAAGTACACCAGGGACATGACTTGCCTTAAATAAAATGTTAAACTGCATTGTCTTGACGACAAAACGCCGCATTAATTTCATAATAGTTGGATCAGTAGAAGTTTGTTTGTTAATAATGTACACTACAGCTATGTTATCAGAATAAAAATTAACACAGGAAATTTGCAGGACGGGGCCCCACAAATCTAAGGCCAGTACAATAGGCAATAGTTCCCTGACTGTAATGTGTAGCTGGCGCCACTTTTCAGGCCATTTCCCACAAAACCAGTTCGTTTGAAAAGTACCCCCAAAACCAAGGTCACTTGCATCTGTACAGAGGGATAATATTCCAGAAGTAATCCATTTATCTTCTAAAATTAAGGATCTGCCATTAAAATGGTTGATGAAAATTGACCAGGCCTCAAGGTCAGCCCTAGCTTCCTTATTCAAGTACTTCTTAAAGTGCGGTAATCTTAAACCTTTGGTGAGATCTATCAGTCGTCTGAGAAATGTGCGGCCAGGTAATACAACAGAACATGCAAAGTTTAACAAGCCAATAAGAGACTGTAAGTCGCGTAGTGAAGCTTTTTTCTTCCTTTTGAAACTATTTAGTGTTTCTTGCAATTTGAGAAGCTTGTCATCTGGCAATCTTAATTCCATTTTTTCTGAATCAAATTCTAAACCTAAAAATGTAATTGTTGTTGTGGGATATACTGTTTTCTCAGATTTAATGGGAACTCCTATATCTTTGCACAGGTTCAAAAAGTTTTCCAGCGAATTTAAACACTGATTTGTGTTGGCTGGACCAATGAAAAGAAAATCATCTAAAACATGTACACAGGAAGCGTTGTAATGATAGTCCATAACCCAGTGAAGTGATGAGCTAAATTTCTCAAAGAGATTACAGGAATAACTAAGACCCATGGGTAAAGTTTTATCAAAAAAATAATAACTTCCTATCGTGAAGCCTAGTAATTCGTGATCTGAAGGATGAACAGGAATGATTTTAAATGCATTCTCAATATCAGTCTTCGAAAATAAAGCCCCCTTGCCATACTTTTTAAGAATTTTAACCGCGTCGTCAATTGTCTGATACTTGATGGAACAGAATTCTTGAGATATTCCGTCATTAATTGACTGACCTTCTGGGTATGACAAATGATGGATAACCCGGAATTCGCCAGGTTGCTTTTTGGGCACTAAGCCTAAGGGCGAACTTTGAAAGTTAGTAAATGGTGGTTCTTGAAACGGACCAGCAGCTCGACCAGAGGCTAATTCTTTGTTTATTTTTTCTTGAAGAATGTCTAAATGTTGCTTAGCGGATTTTAAATTGTCGCTAAGTCTGCGATGTCTTTTACCCTGAAAAGGTATTTTAAATCCTTCTCTAAAACCTAAGACCAGAAACTCCCTATCAGGTATATCGTAATTTAATAGCCATACATGTAACCTATCAGGGTTAACTGGGGTAACAATTTCAAAATTTTTATTTTGTTGATTTGGATGTGGACTTTGTAAATTCTGTCGGACCATGATTACTGCTAACTCTTTGTCTTCCTTTAGCATTTGCGCTTGATTTGAGGGACGTGGGACAGACCTTTCGACTGTGCTCTCCCTCGCAGAGCTGACAAGAATGGGAAAATTTACATTCCTTTCTGTTGCAAATTCCCTGCTCGGAGTTGTTAAAGTTGAAACAGAATGACTTTGTGTAACCCCCTTTTCCTTTGATATTTGTGAAGGGACGAAAAGTAGTTTTCTGATATGTTGATTTAAACTTTGCCTGTAAACCGGCAGCTAAGGCCTCCTGATACAATTCAATGTTAACGCGATCCCATTGAAGCTCCCCAGGAGAAATTTCTCTCCATTGTCTAAAAGTTTTATCGTAATTGATTGCTGCCGAAGCAGTTGACTGATCAGCCAGCTTTTGGACAATATTGGCATATTTCATTAATTTTGATACCTCGTTTACATGTTTTTCACAAAAAATGCTGACGAAAATATGAAAGGCTGCCAACCACTGTTGGACGGATTCAATTTTGCATGGATTGTTTTCCTTAACAAAAGTCAAACCTTCATCTTTTTCTTCTACAGAGAATTTTACGTTTTTTTTACTTGGCTTGAGTAATGACCCAAACTCTACAAATTCATTTGCCCAAATTTTTGCTTTTGTTTTTGCGTCAATCCCGAGTGATAAGGGTTTAGAAATACTGTCTGATGTATGTATTAGCGAAATACTGTTACCATCGCTAGCCTGGGAAAGCGGCTCCGTGGACGTGCTTGGTAATTCCTGAGGCACCTCTGGAGCTTTATCTGTGTGCTCCTCGCTCTTATCATTCATTGCCGAAAGGACCGCTTGAGTGATTTTTGGCAGGGCTAATTGTATAGCGTTGTTCACCTGCTCGGCAATGTCAACAGAGGCTGATGTTGTCTGCTTTCGACGTTTTGCCGGGCCTGAAGTCTCAGAGGATGGTGTGTTCCCGGTTGTAGTGCTCTTTGGTCTTTTCTTTTTGGGTGGCATATTTTGGCCTACAAAACGAGACACCTGTCTTAAGAATGAAGACACTCATAGTTCAATACCTTATCTGCCTATATACATGTTGAATTGACTTTGCATATTAACATGAAAAAAATTTAAGTATAAAAATGACCTTGATCGCCAAATTAAGCTTCTAATGGAAATAATTTTTCCAAGCCTTATGGTGCCATAGACAACCAAGGACACCTAAATACTTAAGAGTGCAAAAGTTTCGATAGCAGTCAATTCACTGAGGCCAACCATAAGCTATAATGACAGATCACAAGGAAAATAATCAAGAAATAGCCAAAGCGCCAGATCATTTACACTTGAGCATAATTCTCAGGTGTACCATACATCAGCGTGTAGCGACACTTCACACATATAAGCTGCTAGCCATAACATAAAAGCAACTGCTCAGCTGTACATATTACAGCTCATAGCGACATATCGCAAACATCAAGATGCCATGTGCATCAAAATGAGCAGAAGCCGTTTCTACTGTGACATATCACAGTGCATATATAGTGACAGATCACTAAAACGATGCCATGTGCATCAAATGACTAGCAGCTATCGTAAAATGTTCTACACTCTATACACCATAATATTTTTTGGTATGACATCGATATTCAAAATTCAAGTACATGTATCTTGAATGCATAATTACTACAAAAATTAAAATTGAAATAAAACTTATCTCATAACATGAATATGGTGAAGGTAACATGCCATCACTTTTGGATAGCCTTCAAGGAGTGCAATATTGCCCCACGTAGATTCCTATAGTATATCATCATCCCATGTTCTTCGTTAAAGTGAACGCCATCACAAAATATCGGAAATTTAGAGTGTTTAATATTTTTAAGCTTCCAATATTGCACACTCGTTTTCTGTACCAGCAGACATTTCAATTTTCTGTTGAATTTGATCACAAGTTCATTATACGATGTTGTGTCTAAAAGCCGAGTCCTAAAACGAGGCATTAGCTGACAAATTTTCACATGTGCAATATTGTAGCGTGATGCGAAAGTTTCTGCGATGCATAAAAGGCGCAGGCTTAATTCCCTCACAAACGATTCATCTGCTGTTACATTGTCAACATCATTTCCTCCTATATGTAAAATGAGTACACCTGGACGTAGATCAGCGATTTTCCTTTCTAACATATTTATATGAGCGGAACATGATAATTTCCCACCACTTATTCCAAAATAATTAATCGCCGTTGCGGATAAATTGAAGTTAGCATATTCACAATGTTCTCGGATATACGATTGTAATCTATTTACATGAGAAGATCCCGCAATCAGAATAGATACCATTGTTTTGAAATATATGCTTTCACCAAAAAAGCTAGTTCTGTTCCACATTAAAAAATTCAAGAACATAGGGATCCAACATGCCGAGGAAAATAAACATCAAAATTAAAATCCATACCTTTCTATCCCAATTGAATAGATATGAAGAGATCAACAATTAAAATTACAGCAGAATTTTTGTTTAAAACTAATGTTCAAATAACTGTATCTCACTTCTATTCTCAATGACCGTGTAGTGTAGGACAGCGCCGCGAGAATTCCATCGGCATCGAAAGCAAGTTTTTTGACTTGCCTAGATAGCCGAGCGGTCTAGCGCGCTGTTCCTGCACTGCTAGGAGACAGATTCCGAAGGTCGAGAGTTCAACCCCGGGCTGGGGCGGAAGTGGGTATCCATGTAAAAGTGAATTTCTTTGTGCTTTCTATATTAATATTTCTTCACTTAGGGCAGTTATGTTAGTTTAAGAGTTGTTGTAAAATGTGCTTTATAAATAATAATTAATTTCATTACAACATGTATTGGTAACAATCCTCTGTTAAAACTAATGTTCAAATAACTGTATCTCACTTCTATTCTCAATGACCGTGTAGTGTAGGACAGCGCCGCGAGAATTCCATCGGCATCGAAAGCAAGTTTTTTGACTTGCCTAGATAGCCGAGCGGTCTAGCGCGCTGTTCCTGCACTGCTAGGAGACAGATTCCGAAGGTCGAGAGTTCAACCCCGGGCTGGGGCGGAAGTGGGTATCCATGTAAAAGTGAATTTCTTTGTGCTTTCTATATTAATATTTCTTCACTTAGGGCAGTTATGTTAGTTTAAGAGTTGTTGTAAAATGTGCTTTATAAATAATAATTAATTTCATTACAACATGTATTGGTAACAATCCTCTGTTAAAACTAATGTTCAAATAACTGTATCTCACTTCTATTCTCAATGACCGTGTAGTGTAGGACAGCGCCGCGAGAATTCCATCGGCATCGAAAGCAAGTTTTTTGACTTGCCTAGATAGCCGAGCGGTCTAGCGCGCTGTTCCTGCACTGCTAGGAGACAGATTCCGAAGGTCGAGAGTTCAACCCCGGGCTGGGGCGGAAGTGGGTATCCATGTAAAAGTGAATTTCTTTGTGCTTTCTATATTAATATTTCTTCACTTAGGGCAGTTATGTTAGTTTAAGAGTTGTTGTAAAATGTGCTTTATAAATAATAATTAATTTCATTACAACATGTATTGGTAACAATCCTCTGTTAAAACTAATGTTCAAATAACTGTATCTCACTTCTATTCTCAATGACCGTGTAGTGTAGGACAGCGCCGCGAGAATTCCATCGGCATCGAAAGCAAGTTTTTTGACTTGCCTAGATAGCCGAGCGGTCTAGCGCGCTGTTCCTGCACTGCTAGGAGACAGATTCCGAAGGTCGAGAGTTCAACCCCGGGCTGGGGCGGAAGTGGGTATCCATGTAAAAGTGAATTTCTTTGTGCTTTCTATATTAATATTTCTTCACTTAGGGCAGTTATGTTAGTTTAAGAGTTGTTGTAAAATGTGCTTTATAAATAATAATTAATTTCATTACAACATGTATTGGTAACAATCCTCTGTTAAAACTAATGTTCAAATAACTGTATCTCACTTCTATTCTCAATGACCGTGTAGTGTAGGACAGCGCCGCGAGAATTCCATCGGCATCGAAAGCAAGTTTTTTGACTTGCCTAGATAGCCGAGCGGTCTAGCGCGCTGTTCCTGCACTGCTAGGAGACAGATTCCGAAGGTCGAGAGTTCAACCCCGGGCTGGGGCGGAAGTGGGTATCCATGTAAAAGTGAATTTCTTTGTGCTTTCTATATTAATATTTCTTCACTTAGGGCAGTTATGTTAGTTTAAGAGTTGTTGTAAAATGTGCTTTATAAATAATAATTAATTTCATTACAACATGTATTGGTAACAATCCTCTGTTAAAACTAATGTTCAAATAACTGTATCTCACTTCTATTCTCAATGACCGTGTAGTGTAGGACAGCGCCGCGAGAATTCCATCGGCATCGAAAGCAAGTTTTTTGACTTGCCTAGATAGCCGAGCGGTCTAGCGCGCTGTTCCTGCACTGCTAGGAGACAGATTCCGAAGGTCGAGAGTTCAACCCCGGGCTGGGGCGGAAGTGGGTATCCATGTAAAAGTGAATTTCTTTGTGCTTTCTATATTAATATTTCTTCACTTAGGGCAGTTATGTTAGTTTAAGAGTTGTTGTAAAATGTGCTTTATAAATAATAATTAATTTCATTACAACATGTATTGGTAACAATCCTCTGTTAAAACTAATGTTCAAATAACTGTATCTCACTTCTATTCTCAATGACCGTGTAGTGTAGGACAGCGCCGCGAGAATTCCATCGGCATCGAAAGCAAGTTTTTTGACTTGCCTAGATAGCCGAGCGGTCTAGCGCGCTGTTCCTGCACTGCTAGGAGACAGATTCCGAAGGTCGAGAGTTCAACCCCGGGCTGGGGCGGAAGTGGGTATCCATGTAAAAGTGAATTTCTTTGTGCTTTCTATATTAATATTTCTTCACTTAGGGCAGTTATGTTAGTTTAAGAGTTGTTGTAAAATGTGCTTTATAAATAATAATTAATTTCATTACAACATGTATTGGTAACAATCCTCTGTTAAAACTAATGTTCAAATAACTGTATCTCACTTCTATTCTCAATGACCGTGTAGTGTAGGACAGCGCCGCGAGAATTCCATCGGCATCGAAAGCAAGTTTTTTGACTTGCCTAGATAGCCGAGCGGTCTAGCGCGCTGTTCCTGCACTGCTAGGAGACAGATTCCGAAGGTCGAGAGTTCAACCCCGGGCTGGGGCGGAAGTGGGTATCCATGTAAAAGTGAATTTCTTTGTGCTTTCTATATATATATATATATATATATATATATATATATATATATATATATATATATATATATATATATATATATTAATCAATGGTATTCTCTTTGAAACTTTATACAGTGAATAAATTGATTTATGCATTTTATTGTTTTTTTTCTTAACTTTTACAAAGTTTTTCTCAAAATCTGTACCATTTGAAACAAGATGTGTTTGTTAAACCCCAATGCCCTCGTATGACAACATAGCGAAGATTACACTTTTTTAAAATGCAAATTTAATAAATTGGTAACAAAAGTAGTGTATTATCACTGGAAATACAATTGTGAGATATGAAAGTAGGCCAAGATTAAAGTATTTTTTCATGAATACGGAAATCTCCGAGGTCAAGGTGAAAAGGTCAAGGTAATTGGTATCCTATAAAAGGACTTGCCACAAAGAATACATTTGTGAAGTATGTAATCCTTAGCTCTAACCCACCAAGAATTATAGTAAAGGTTAAATATTTTATAAAGTAGGTCTAACTCCAATGTCAAGGTCAAAGGGTCTTCCATTCAAATTAGAGACCTTGTCACAAGGATAACGCATGTGAAGTATGAAAGCACTAGCCCTATAACCCCCTGAAATTTATGGTTCAGGTTTGATTTTTAAAAGTAGGTCAAACTGCAAGGTCAAGGTTGGAGGGTCAAAATTCTTGGTATCCAATGAAGGGCCTTCTCACAAAGATTCCATATGTGAAGTATGAAAGCATCAGCTTCAATCGTTAAAAAGTTAGCCAAGGTTAAAGCTTTTTTTATAAGTATAAAAATCTCCAAGGTCAGAAGATCAAAGTCGTTGGTATCCAAATAAGGTCTCTCCACAAACAAGACGCCCACGGGCCTTATAGGTCACCTGAGTATTATGTTACAACTTTCCAGCGATTGTATTTGGTTCGTGTTTTAATCCAAAAGCCATGAAATTCACAAATTTTGAAAGAGGCACATTTGCTTACCAAAAGGCAGATTTCAAAGCATTAATTTATTTTTAGTCAAAGTACCCCCCTGGTACCACTGACCCAGCGGCCCTGAAATTATCTATTTTGAAAGAGGCCCCTTTCTTCATTATAAGGCCAGCATTTTTTTATGCTTAGGTTTAGTTATGAACATGAGAATAAAAAAGTCCTGAAGGAGAAAGAAATAAAAAAAATTTGATAAATCACTCATTAACATTTGTACATCCTTTTATGCTATTCTAATAGGCTCCTTACCACTGGACACATAATGCTTACAAATAGGAAAGTAGAACATTTAATTGCTTATTTCATCATCTGCCAGTTTAGGCCAGTTATATAAATTCTAAATTTTGTGATGTTGGTCAAAATATATTTTAAAAAATAAATTCTTTAAAAGTTTTTCAATATATCTTCATTTTTTTAATATGTGTTAGGTGAATGTGTAGACATTGTTCTAAAATTTACTTGATGCCTAAAATTATAATTCCTATCGTAAAACAGACAGGGAGTATTGGGGAGTTGGGTAAACATTTATATAAGTATAAAATAATTTTTCTGGCTGATACAAATGATACTACATGCCTGTATATATTTGTATATTCTTGCCTTTTAATAGTTGAATTTTTTTTCATTTCTTCAGTTTATTGTTTATTTCTTCCTCAAATGGACCTAACTTCTCCCATAGTTTTATTCATTACATCTGATGCATAAGCAACCCTTTTCTGAAGAATGTTGCTTAGACTGTAAGCTATAACAGAGACCTAAACAATGTCGCTGGCAATATGCAATAGCTACCACGGGCAGTTTAAAACCTGGGGTAGGAAAAAAATTTACAGACAGATACTTTTGACACGAATACATAATTATCTCACCAGCATGTCATTGTGCAACAAAGTCGTCAGCATTTTATTTGTCCTTTGAACGGGTGAAACGTTTTGAATGGCACTCATATCGATGAATCTTACACTAAACCAAACTATCTTCTCAGATCTAGCTTTATTTACCCGCTGTTTTAAAATCTTAAAACCGAGTTCGTAAATTTGAAATCTCGATCCCGACTCAAATTTGACATCGGAAAGAAAAAATTGTTTTATTTTTTTTCTGAAAATTCAAAACCTTGAGCGGAAGGTTTGTAAAACTGAAAATAAAATAAATCCTGGCCTTAAATACGTAATGCGTATGTAATTAGATCATTAGCAGATTAACCAGGAGCAAAGGATAATATGTTCAAAGAATTCATGTATTTCACTATATAATCATTAGAGCCCCAGCCTAAAACAAGAACCCCTGACCCTGGGGCCATAAAATTTACTATTT